ATGGATGGAGCTTCTACCTCCTCCCTCCTTGCTTACCACCCTGACCAGCTTAATAACTTGCTCTCTACCACCGATAGGCATAGGCGAGACTGGCCAGGGAGTTCAGGGCTCCCCGCTATCTCCCTCTGAGCTCACCCCTGCCCCCCAGGCAGCAGGACTTCACCGACTCCTTGCTGGAGCCCGTGAATCAGGCCCGGAAGCGCAGAATAAACTCCTTTTCCTTCTCTCTGGCCTGCCCTCGGTTTATCTTTGCGGCACACCTAATGATATTCAAGGAAGATTTTGTTCTGAAGATCATCCAACAACGGTTGCAGCTGGACATGGACAGGGAGCTGCCAGAGGTTCAGGCTGGATTCAGAAGAGACTATGGAACAAGGGACACCATTGCTGATGTCAGCTGGGTCTCGGCTGAAAGCAGGGAATACCAGAAAGATATTTGCTTGTGTATCATTGACTGTGTGGGTCATAACAAACTATGGATAATCGCCTTGAAGAATGGGGATTCCAGAACACCTCATAGTGCTCACATGGAACCTGTACATGGCTCCAGGGGCAGTTGTGTGAACAGAACGAGGGCGCGCTGCATGGTTTAAAATCAAATCAGGAAAGGCGTGCATCAGGGTTGTAGCCTCTTCCCATACTTGTTCAATCTATACACTGAGCAAATCATCAGAGAAGCTGGATTCTATGAAGAAGGTGGCATCAGGGTCAGAGGAAGGCGTATGAACAGCCTGCAACATGCAGACAGCATGACCTTGCTTGCTGAACGCGAGGACTCGAAGCCCTGGCTGCCGAGGGTCAAAGGTTGCAGCCTTCAGCATGGATGGCCCAGAACATGCTCCACCCTCCATCCTCCTTGACCCTACGCAGACACCCATGCTTCTGACAACACTGCTTTTCTGTTGCGTTTGATAATCCCTTGCAATGACCCATATAGACCTCAGACAATAGTCATGATGCTTGGGGTTTATTAAGGAGCCCTGGTGGCGTGGTGGTTACACGCTGGGCTGTGATCTGCAAGGTTAGCAGTTCCAAGACGGGGCTTCCGACGCCTGTGAAGTGTTACCGTCTCTGAAACCCACAGGGGCTTCTACCTGTGGAAGAACCCACAGGGGCTTCTACCTGTGGAAGAACCCACAGGGGCTTCTACTGCCCTACAGGGGCTGCGACGAGTCAGTCTACTTGATAGCAGAGTATGGGAGCTTATTAGGGAAGTCAGCAGCAAACAGGATCTAGTCATTGGCCCACTGCAGTTCACCCTCTCTCGGGTCCTCAGCCACAGTGGTCCCTTGGCTTCTGCCTCTGTGGGTCAGGAAGCCCCACCCCCACCTCCAGCCCCATCACTCTGCCTCATGGTCCCGTAGTCTTAGCGCTGCTCCTCTGTTCTGTCTCATGATCTACTAACTTCAGCCTGTGGTCTTGGCCTGGCTCCTTGAATCTGTCCCACTGCCGCCTAGCTGCAGCTCCTCGTGCCTCTGCTCTGGGCCTCCTCCATTCAGATGGAGAGATCAAGCCAGCTCCACAGGTGGCTGTTCATCCAATGGTCCTGCTTCTGAGATGGTCTGTTATTATACAGAGGTGTGATTTTTGTCTTGCCACACACCGTACCCGCAAGGAAACAAAAGGTGTTGACTTGACTCACACCCTCTTCTGAGGTAGAGACTCAGAATATATCCCACCTTGATCCGGTAACAGTACTCCCTCCAAAATGGGATGACAACCACAGGCACACAGGCTAGAATTCATAATACATCACAAAAGAGGATGAGGGCTAGAAGGGATAGATTAAGTCATGGATGACATCTCAGTTAGTATAGGGTGTTTTATACATCCTATTGGCATAGTAGGAGCCTCTGGCGAGGAAGTCTGATAAGTGCTGGACTGCTAACCTCAAGGTCTTTGGTTCAAATCCACCTGCTGCTCCAGGAAAGACAGCTGAGCCTATCTGCTCCGGTAAAGATTTACAGCCCTTAAAAAAAAAAAAAAGATTCACAGCCTTAGCGAAGCAGCCTTAGATGGGGTCGCTGTGAGTTAGAATGGACTTGTTGGCAGTGAGTTCTGTTTTCATTTTTTAAAATTTTCATAGTATATTCATCCATCTCTTTGCCAGCCTGCAACTGTGTCAAGCATTTGGACAGAACGCTAAAGCCGAGGCCATTTGGAAGAGTAACCCATTGCACCCTGGGCCCTTGGTCACACGTGACTCTCAGCACTTGAAACATGGCCAGTCCACACTGAGAAATGCTGAAAGTGTAAACTACACACGTAGCCTCACCTTACTCTGGATGTGGTATCAGGAGGGACCAGTCCCTGGGAAAGGACATCATGCTTGCCAAAGTCAAGGGTCCGTGAAAAAGAGGAGGGCCCTCCACATAGAGGGACATAGCAGTGGGCGCTAACATAGCAACAGCTGTGAGGCTGGCACGGGGCAAGCAGTGTCGTGTCCCATTGCACGCGCAGTCACGGGGCACTGGAACCAACCCAATGGCGCCCAACAACCACAGCAACAGACTGCAGGACTGAGCTCCCCCCACATCAGGGTGCTCCAGCTCATGGCAGTGTTTTTAGTGATCGAAGGTTGACGTGGAATTTTAATGTGCTGAATCAAATCGCCCCAGTGTGGTGGTTACATAATCTGTTGTCAATTTAAGACTATTAAGAGTGAAGGGGTGGAGTTTAGCCTGTCGGATCAAGTTGCAGCTTGATGACCTCAATTGGAGGCACTGAGTTGATAAATAGCTTGCTGGAAGCGGGACACATGCTCACTCCCCACTCCCTGGGAGACATTCCGGGTGACAAGACACATGGAGCTACACTCGTGCCCTGGAGGAGACACATCAAGACCCCTACCTGCACTGAGATGCTTACACGGCCACTGGACCCATAAGTCTTTCCACCCACTGGCCTGTATGATCTCCCTGCATTCAGCATCATTGCTTGGGTTTCATGAGCCTGAAAAGGAATTACAGATTGGTATCAGGCATATGGGCTAATATTGGAGTTATGAACTTGATCTGGATGGGCTGGGATGTTTTAATATTTAATTACTCTTGATATAAAGTTCTCTATTACACACATGAGAATTTGTTTCTCTAGTCAACTCAGACTGACACACCCAGTACCTGTGAACATGACCTTATTTGGAAATAGGGTCTTTGTAGACTCAAGGCCATCCTTGATTAGGGTGGGTCTCAGTCCAATATGACTGGTATTCTTACAAAAGAGAAGAGAGAGAGAGAGACAGAGTGGAGGCGGCTGTGGGAAGAGATTCATATACACCAAGGAACGCTAAGGAAGGCTGGCCGTCCCCGGAGAGAAGAAAGCTGCACCCAGCATTCTCCCTGCAACCTCTCAGAACCAGCCAACATCGCTGACTTCCCTGGCCAAGGATGCCCAGCCCCAGAGCTGTGAAACAATGCCTGTCTGTTCTTACAAGCCAGCCACTTCGTGGGGCCGTATGCCAGCAAGCCCCAGGAGACTTTAGACAATACGCCAGGGACACAAAATAGATTCCCCGACACCCCCTCTCCCCCCGGCAGTTTTATTGGCACATGATTTACATATCATACAGTTGAATAGTTCGATCATATCAAGGGGAATGGTACAATCACCACACCACACCTATCTTAGAGCACCCCCCTCCCCTCATAAAATAGACTACTGATATTCATTCTACGTGTCTCCTTTCATCTGATGTGTGTGTGTGGTTGTTTTGTTGTTGCATTCTCACTTAGGCCCTTCTTCACCATTGTGTTGGGTTGCTGCCAGTAGGCAGTACCGTCTCCTGGAGGTTTCCCTCCCTTTACCAAGCAGGGTGTCTGTCCCTCCTGGTTGGGCTTCCCGGGTAATATGCCCAGTCAGCAAGTCTGACCATCCTCGCTTCCTAGGAGGATAGCAAATCCTATGAACGGCTTACATTATATTCCCACCAGACAACCCAGCACCTACAGAGTTAACCAATATGCCCCCTCACCCCAGCATTGACAGCCAAGTTCAAAAACGCTGAAAATAATACACTGCTGGGGGGTGCTGGCATGGGGGACAACTATAAACCAGCACAACCCCAGTGGAAAGCAGTGTGGCGCTTTCTCAAAAAAATGGGACTAGGCGTCCCTCCCGTATAACCAAGCACCCCTTCTACTGGGTACATATGCTGAAGAAACGAGAGCTGAGCCACGGAGTGCATCTTCATACCCATGCTCAGGGCAGCGCTATGCACAATAGCAGGAGATGGAGCAGAAGCAAGCCTGACTCCCTGCCGTGGAGTCCACGCCGATACACAGTGACCCTAGAGGGCAGGGTAGAAGGGGCCCTGTGAGTTTCCCAGAGTGTCATTCTCTTGGCGCGTAGAGAGCCTCATCTTTCCCCCCAGGAGCAGCTGATGGTGTTGAACTGCTGGCCTTGCGGTGAACAGTCTGACACGTAACCACTACCACTTAAACACCCAGAAGCGGAGCCGTGGATGGCCTTTGGCGGGTGCACGCCGTGGAGGACTACGTTCGCAGCATGAAGCAATAGTCCACAGGAGGGAGATGGGCACAACGTGATGCAGGGAAAACAAGTGGGAGGGGCACAAGGCAGGCCAGGGAGGGCTGAGCAGTTGTTGAATGTACACATGTGGACCTGCTAAGCCAAGCCCCACCTAGTGCACAGAAAAAATGGTTTTGTTGTGTTTAAGAAACCCCCAAACATGGGATTACAACTGGGAACAGAATTCTCGTTTCTCCACTGACCACGCTTCCATCACAATTGGACTGTATGTGTTGGGGCACCTTCCCGCAATCATTTTGACAAATTAAAAACCACCACCGCAGAGATCCACCCCGTGAAACCGAGAAGGGCAGGAAGTTGACACGGGTTGCTGGCAGTGGGCAGGACTACCCGTCTTATCCTGAGAGGACCTGGGTGCCTTCGCCCTGCCTCCTGGGACGTGTTTACGTGGACTTTGAAGCAGTCCGCCTCAAAAAACAAAACAAACCCAAGGACAGAGAAAAACAAAGTGTTCTGAGATTGCTTTTATTCCAAGAATTCTGTGAGCTGCGTCCAAATGCCACTGGCGCCAGCTGGTCCCACAGCACCCACACAAAACAGCACCACGAGGGCGCCCAGACCTCCTGGGGCCCGGGATCCTGAGCAGTCAATGTGACTGATTCCGTCCTCGAGGGCCGGCCAGCTGGGCCAGCCCCAAGTGGTCCCTCTGTGTCCCCTCACTACTCTTGCGGGCCGGGCGGGGATGGGGACGGATTGCCCTCAGGCCCATGCGTGACCTGGGCCTGTGTTTACCCGGCAGCCCTGCTGGTTTTCAAAAGGTGGGCGACTCGTCTAATCCCCACTCAGAAGGGGGCTTCTGCAGTCATGGGCTTCTTCTCTGTCCACCAGGCTCCAGGTGGCCTCTACCTGGAGCCCCTGCCAGGCAGGGAGTGGCCACGTCCTGGGCCAGAGTCCGAGTCACTGCCCTCTAGAGGCCTGGGAGCAGGCCCCAGGGAGGTAAGGTTAGGCGGCAGCGGCAGCGGGGGCTGCAGGCTTGATCAGTATGGTGGTGGCTTGCAGCGGGTAGTAGCGGCCCCGCCAGGTCTTCCAGAAGATACCCTTCTTCCGCTGCTGCCGCTGCCGTGGGATGGAGCGGAAGTAATGGCCGTTGAGGTTGGAATGGCTGCAGGTGCCGAACCACCAGCCACCTGTGGGGCCAGGAGTGGCAGCACAATCAGGTCGGGTCCTTGGGTTTCCTTTGGGGCTTGGTTGGGGGTAGGGTTGCAGTTGGGGATTGGGTTGGGACCCTCACGTGTTGTGTTGTGGGTCAGACTTTGTCCTGATTCTCAAATTGTATGCTGGGGAGCCCCAGGTTAAGACTGAGGAAGCTTGCCCCCCTTCCGCTCCTCCCCTTTCTTTCTCCTTAAGGAAATCCTCTCTGCACCTGGCACGCGGCGGACATTTTCCATGGTTGGCATCAGCCTCACCCATTTATACTTGGCTAAAACCAAAACTAAACTCACTGCCATGGAGGTAATTCTGACCCCTAGCTGCCCCATCGGACAGGGAAGCACTGCCCCTGTGGGTTTCTGACACTATATGGGAGCAGAAAGACGGGGCGCAGAAAGCCGTGTCTGTCCCCCTGTTAGTAGCCCCACGTGTAACCACTATGCCACCAGGGCTCCGTATTTGATTAGCCATATGGAATTACCAAGAATGCCGCTGTTTGGGGAACCCATTGGAAAGGCCCCTTCATAAGTCTCACTTCAAAGAGCCAGGGCCCCCCCTACCCCCATGGCATTAGACAAGGACAGGGTTCATTTTGGTGGCTTTATCCGGGCCAGCCACCACCCCACGTCCATCATCTCCCTGAATTTCCTATCCTAGGAGGTGAGCGTTGCGCTTATACCCATTTTAAGATGGGAAAACGGAGGCTGGAAGAGCACTTGGCAAGTTGAGGAGAGAAGGGCTAGATCAGCGGTTCTCAACCTGTGGGTCGTGACCCCTTTGGGGGTCAAACGACCCTTTCACAGGGGTTGCCCGATTCATGAAGTAGCAATGAAAACAATCTTATGGTTGGGGGGGGGGTCACCACCACACGAGGCACTGGAAGAACAACTGTATGAAAGGGTCGCGGCATTAGGAAGGTTGAGAACCACTGGACTAGATGCATCTGGGGTTGAGGGAACAGGCAGGGACCAGTGGTTGGGCTCTGTGTGTGTGTGTTGGGGGTGGGGGGGGAGCAGGGCGGGATGAGGCTTGCTCACCGGAAAGGGCTTTAGCGCAGTTCTTGTCCCTGCGAAGGTCATGGTCCTGGTCCCAGGTGGAGAAGGGTAGGGAGAGGCCACTGGGCGAAATGGCGGCGGCGCCCAGTTTGCTGGCCACGGGCGCCGTGAGCTGCAGGCTGTAGGCAGTGTCCTCGCCCCCCAGCTGGATGGGGAACTGCAGAGACTCAGCGTTGCCCTCCCAGTCCTGAAGCTGCACGGCCAGGCGCCCGCCGAGACCCCCTGTGATGCTGTGTACCTTCTCCAGGCCCAGCCAGAACTCACCTACAACCGGGAGAGACCGCTGAGTCAGGGGACCCCACCACCACAGCTATCCTGCTTCCGCCCCTGCCTCCCCAACCCTTGCTCCCATTAGAGCCTGCTGGAAACACTCACCTTGGGGGTCCCCGAAGCCCGCCTTGTAGGCCTCCCAGGGCTGGTCAAAGTTCACAGAGCCGTCCTGGCGCCTCTGAATCACCGTCCAGCCTCCGTCTGTCCAGAGGCGGGGCAAAGTCACCTGGAGGCCCTTCCTGGGGGGAACTCCCCCACTGGGCACCAAGTCCCCTCCAAACTCTGAGAAGGTGGGGCTCCCCTCAAACACCCTCCCCTTAAAGAACCTGCAGGGTTGGCCGGTCCGAGGACCCAGCAAGCGAGGAGGAAGGAAGTGGGACAGGTGGGTGGGTAGAGGGGCAGCAAGGTGAACCAGACCCACAGCAAAGAACCCCCCCACCTCTGAGCTTGTAGTGGGAGTAGCTGGAGAGCCGGCATCACTTTACAAGAGGGTCCCGTACAGGGCACGCAGCCCTAGCTGCCAGCCCCGCTCATCTCACCTGCAGCCATCTCGCAGTTGACCAGGAACGGTGGGGACCCCTTGGGCTGGATCTGGAAGAGTCCACTCTGCCGCTCCCCCTCCTCAAACAGCTCCTGGCAATCTCGGGGCAGCCCTGCTGACAGAGACAGACAGGGACCATGAAGCAGGAGGGAGCAGGGGGATCTGAGGGTGGGGCCGAGCATGGAGGGAGGAGAAGGGCAATGCTGACTTTACCCACCTCCCTCCTGGACTCGTGCAGGGCACCCCAGCCTTCCTCATCCTCTGTCCACCTGAAAGGCCTCCTTCCTTCCCCACTGTCCCTTCCATAGGGATCTCACCCATGGGGGTCCCTCAGCCCAGTTCCTGCCCTCCCCATCTACTCCCCAGGCACAACTACCCTGTGTGCAGAGTAGCACATCAGGGCTTTCCAGCCTGTGATCTTTTGGAAGCCGGCCACCAGACCTTTCTTCCGAGCTGCCTCAGAACCACCAACTTAACTGTTCATGCCACCCAGAGTCTCCATTGGCTGTGCCATAGCTATGCCTGTGGCACAGTGGCTGATGACCATCCTCCTCAAGGCCAGGCAGCAGTTTGAGATCACTAGACCCTTCGGGAGAAAGTCTGGGCCTTTTCCTCCCATCAAATAGTAAGTTCCCTTCCCTCGGAAACCCACAACCCACGGGGGTGGGGTGGGGGGCAGTTCTACCCTGTCCTATTGGGTGGCTGTTTGATAGTGGCAGTGAGTTGTGGGAGGTGTTCAAGCAGGAATGAATGAAGGGCTGATGAATGAATGATTGAGGGAGTTGGAAGGCCAGGGGATGTGAGGGGCATGGAGACAAAAGGCCCTGGTCCTGGAGGGAGGAGGAGGACACTGCATAGAGGGAGGAACGGGAAGTCCCCGCCCCCAACCCAGGCAGCCGGGAAAGTAGGGGAAAGGTTGCAGGGGGGAGGAGGGGCGGGCCGAAGACACTCGCGAGTGTGTCTGGGCTGCGGGGGTGGGGGCAGACCGCGCGCCTGAGTGCACTTTCCGGCCCCTCCGGCAGCTCCCCTTTCCCCTACTTTCCTCCCTTCCAATCTATACAGGCGCGAGGCCAAAAAGCTAAGGTGGCCTTGGTTAGCGCCAGCTGTTGCTCTCTCAGGGACGAACTTTCTCCTACTTGGCTGGCCGAGGCTGCAGCCTGGGAGTCCCGATCCCACGCGTCCCGTCCCCCCACCCCCGTACGTGCGCTAGCCCGGACCGGTGCTGGCTCTCCTCGAAGCCCCTCCACTGATGCTGGCGTCAGGAAGGGTGGACTTGACCCTCAACCACGCTGGGCAGCTGGCCTTTGGGGGGGAATGTCGGCGGAGGAGGGGAGCCTGGGGCAGGGGAACTCTCCAGGCTAGAGGGCTGGAAGCCAGCACTGGGCCCAAGGGTGTGAAGGGGGATCCGAACTTTCACCCAGTTGGCCAAAGAGAAGCGCAAGATGCCAAACTGGGCGACCACAATGGGGTGGGTGGGGAACCATGACCTGGGGCTGTGAACTCAGGGCGGGGAAGAGCCGAGGCAGTGGACACACACTGGTGTCTTGGCGTGTACACGCACACATAACTAAAGGACCTGAGATCGAGATGGTGGCCCAGTCTCTTCCCGGACTGACTCCCTGCAGCAGAGGGGTAGGGGTGGGATTCTGGGGACCTGTTGGGGCAAGGGGGTGGGGAGGGCCAGGTGTGCAGGTTGGGGACTCAGTGTTTGTCATATATGCAAGAATGAATGTGTCCAGAAAAGTGGGTTCCCTACCTGTGCCCCTACATCCAACCCCATGGGGATCTTGGTGGGGGGTGCCCAAACCTTTGAAGGTCACTCCCAGATAACCAATCTGTCTGCGTCTAGGGGTTCCATGCTCCCTACCCTGGACCTTCTTGACCACCATCATATCTTTCTAGAAGGTTCTCTCCCAAAAGGAGGTGTTGAGCTGACCTCCTGACCCATCCCTGCAGCTCAAGTGGTGGCCCACCCCCTACTGCAGCCAACCCCCTGCTCTAATCAGTGACCAGCCAGGCTTAGGGGAAAGCCTGTGGGTGGGGGGGCATGCTAAAACGAAGGGTGGGGTGGCCCTATTGGGCAGGATCAGGGCTGAAAGGATGGTGGGTGCCCTTCTCTGCAGACTGGTGAGCAGGCAGGGAGCCAGGGTAGGGACATGGGCCTGTCAAGGAGGTGGCCAGGTATGGCAGGGGGCAGGCAATGCCAGAGGTCAGGAATGGGCCACTCACTGTGCAGACGGCTGGAGTTGTGAGCAGGATCTTTATGCTGAGCCATCTTGGGGAACCTCTTCCCCCTGGAAGGATTGGCCATCCCAAGTTCCAGGTGTGTGGAGGCTAGATGGTCCACCTGGAGCAGAGCAAGCCGAGTGTCAGGTCCCGCTGGTGCAGGCTGCTGGACCTGCCCGGCTCTACATCTGGACCTGCAGGCCCAGCCTGGACCTCCCGCTCTGCCCGGGCCAGGCTCGGGTACCTGGGTCTGCAAACTCTGAATCTTCAGATGCTGTTTCTCCAGGTTCCGCTGCTGTTGGGCCACCTTCTGGAATAACTGCTCGATCCTGCTGTTCTGGGCTTTGAGCTGCATCTGGAGAGAGGTCAGGGGGGCACTGCTGAGAAGAGGGCCCCTGGCCTCCCGCCTGGGGACAGGAGGGTTCAAGGAGCCCCGGTTGCAGCCCCCTGCCTTCCATACCATTCCAGGCCTGTGTTACCTGTAAGCTGCCCAAGGTGTCGTTGGGCGGGGCCTCGTCCGCGGGTAGCGGGCGCTCAGGAGCGTGCGGGGGCGAGGCGGTCCCGGCGGCTGGTCCGCAGGCGGCCCCGCACGCGTTCAGGCGCCGCTCGATCTCCCCCAGCTGCCCACGGGTGCGTTCCACGTGCTCCCGCAGCCCGTGGCCGAGCTGCAGCAGCCCGTGCGCCAGCACGTTCAACTCGTCCCAGGACGCGAAGCGCGGCGGCTCGGGCGGCGCGGGGCGGCCCTGAGCGCTCAGCAGCCCGGCGGTGGCAGCGCACAGCACCAGGGCCGCGCCGGCCGAAGGCGCGCAGCGCATCTTCCGGGAGGCTGGGAAATGGAGGCACGGGGGTGCGGGGCACAAGACGGAGTGCGGGGCGCGGGAAGAGCGGGAGCCGCGGGTGCCTGGGTGGGGACGCGCTGGGGTGCAGAGGTCACTCGGAGAGCTCGGACCGCAGCCGTGGGCTCGCTGGGCTAGGCGTTGTCCCCGGGGTGCCCAGGGGCCCCCTTTTATAAGCCTAGAGTAGGGGGTGGGGCAGGGAGCGTTAGAGGCGGGTCTCTGGGAGTGCCGGGGCGGGGCGTACGGCAGAGGAGGGGTCCTTGTGCTCGAAAGGCGGGTGGTTTTGGGGAGAGGGTGCAAAACTCTGCCTTCCCTTACCTGGCCCTCCCCGGCGGACTTGAGAGACGTGACGCTCCGTCTCCCCACGTCCGGGCGCCGGAATCTGAGCCCCCTACTGCGCTTCTAGCTCAGTGTGGGAAAGGCGTTCTCGTCTGCCCGCGGGGAGGGGGGGCGTGGGGTGAGGGCTGAGGGCTGAGGCATTCCTGCCCCCTCCCCAAATTAGAAGCAAGGATAAGGCGGGGGGAGGGTGAGATGAGAGCAAGGAATAAGAAAGGTTCCCGAAGCGCTGAATCCAACGGAGACACCCAAGTCCTGTAGGGAGGGGAGTTGGAGACGCCCCAATCTCCTGGATGGGGGTGGGGACGCTCCCACGCTCCTTCACGGTGGGGGATTGTGAGATTTTTAACTGACTTCCTGCCCCCCAACTGTGAATACTCCAGCCAGGTCTGCGCCCCCACCCTCGCCCCCAGGCCTCCGGTGTTTGTTGCACAGAAAGAGGAAACCCATGTAGTTAGACTTGCCGCTCCATTCATTCGTTCGTTCGTTCATTCATTCATTCAAGCAACACTCCTGCTCCTCAACCCAGGTCCCGTGCACAAGTGCCAAGGCAAAGGACCAAATTTACGACTTATGCCTGACTACCCCACGCGTAGCAGAGAATTGCCCGCCATACACCATAACCCCAAATCCAAACTCACTGCCATCGAGTGGATGCCGACTCAGCGACGCCACAGGACAGGGCAGCACCGCCTCCCGGAGTTCCCCAAACCATAACTGTTGACAGAAGTACAAAGTCCAGTCTTCCTCCCACGGAGCGGCTGGTGGTTTTGAACTGATCACCCTCGGGCTCATAACCGCTGTGTCTCAGAGGCTCTTGATAGGACAGGGTAAAACTGCCCTACCCCATAGAGCAGGGGTCCTCACTTTAAACAGGGGGCCAGTTCACTGTCCCTCAGACCCGTTGAAGGGCCGGACTATAGTTTAAAAA